TGTAGTACACAAAATCATTTGTTTCTACATAAAAGATCGTTTTTGTTTTCATTTATATAGTAAAATCTCTTGTTGTGCTATTTATTAGACGATTAGTACTGTCTCAAACAGTCATGAATATTGACGAAACCGATTACCTAGACTATGCGAGATATTATTGTATTACATTAACATTCAATGGAGGAATGAAATCTCATATTCATTCAAAGAACAAACGAAAACAATAAGATATTTTAATAGTAACTATATTTGGGTTCATTCATACATTTCAAACAATCAACGTTTGTTTTTTCATTCATTACAATATTTGAGGACTTTGCAATTATCACATAAGCAACAATTGTGTTTGCTAAAATTTAAAAATATTCAAAAAATTATTCGTATTTTTACTTTCTCTTGAATGAATTCGCTTGTATTTCAATACACTTTTGTATTGCTTTGAAATATGAATGATAATAGTTCTACTTTTAGCCTAATCAAATATACAGAATAAATTGAATAAATGATTTAATATTATGCTAAAAAAGGATCTTCCGCATAATTTCTAGGAAGTTTTGAAATCCAGTTTGAATGATTGAAAGTTTTTTTTTATTAAATTGGATGCAATATGTCTTTTATATACTGCAAATAAACCAACGGCGGACAATACAAATATAACAATATTTGCCCCATAATTGCATCCGGATAACTTCAAGTAGTTTCTTTTAGGAAATGGTATACCAGTAACCAGTCAAAATCGGTGGATGTTACCTTCACCTTAAAACGAGACTCATGTCCTCCTCTCAGACTCAACAACAAAGCAGTATCAACATCTTCAATTGTGAGATTCTTGAATATGCATCTAGATACAAGGCTGGCTTGGAAACAATTACAAATTAAATATAGAAAACTTGTCAATAGTAGACTGAATCAGGAAATTGGAATCAAGATAGTTGAAGAGGTTGCTAGAGACTTCTCCAAGAAATACATTGACAAACTTGATTCGCATGCAAACGATCTAATAACAAGGAATGCTGTATGTTTCTAATATCAACAGCGAACTAAATGTTCTGTCTAATAGATTCCAAATAAATTTAAAAATGAATTAGTAATAACTATTTAAAATATTGAGAGTTTTTTTACAAACTATTAATTGAACAAGAGTCAATGAAATCTCTTATCCATTCATAAAACAACAATGTTTTTTTATCATTATTAAGGCTAGAAGTACAGACATTGCATGTATACCTAATCCGTGACTTGTAACCGGGTCAAAATGAACTTTTAAAATAAGGAACATTTTTCAATATTTATATTATCTTTCGAAATACATCGTTTATCATAATTTGTTAGATTAAATACTTCTCGAAAATATTAAGAACTGGTGCTTTTTCAGTTTTGAAACTTTTATCTATTTCAACCAAAAATGTCCGCAGTTTTGATGGATTAACTCGGAACTCACTTTCAACTTTTCTACGATTATTCTAAATCTGTGTCTGAGGACTCTTATTAGTAGATTATATAAAAATCTATTTCCTAAACTGCCTTCTTTATTCTATTAAGAAAACATTTCATCTATTTTTTTTTAATAACTTTGCAATATTGGAATATTTTTTCCTTAAAACAGTGCTTATGACATAAAATACAAATGAAATACTATAATTTTTTTATGATTCTCATCTAGAATTATAAGACTGTACTGTATCACCAAACTAAAAGTTGTAATAATAATATAAACATTTGAAATTAACAAGCCAATTTGTTACATAAGTCATAAGAAAGCTCAATCTGACAATTTTTCTACAAGATCAAATTGACCGATCTCGGTAGGTAAATCATGTTACAAATTTTTGGAAAATAGAGAATATTTGGAGAAGCAACATATTTCTTTGGGAAATTGTACACCAAATTTCAATTTCACCTCCACGGTAACTTTAGGTGACTATATTTGGGTCAATTGATTTTGTTTTAAACAATCGATGTTTGTTTTCCTTTATTACAATATTCCAGGACATTTTTTTGTAGTTGCAATTATCACGTAATTCATTTCATTTCATCGAATCAATCAAATGTTCGTATTTGTAAAAAAAATCTGAATGAATGCTCTTGAATTTAAAATGACCATTGTTTGCGACTATTCTATTATGTTGCATTTTCTATGCTTTTTTTTAAAACAATGATTGTTGAATATCCATGCATGTTTAGATCGAACACTTTTTTCTTTTCTTATGCACGTGTCAAGTTTTTTTTTAAATAACAATTATTACTGTTAACATTTTAGTACAATCAAATGTACATAATTAATTGCGCGAATGAATTGATAATAGTTATTTAACACAGTGTGAATAAAGTAACAGTAACCGAGTTTTTACCAAATATTGATTGAACTCGAGTCAATTACGCGAAAGATGACATACGGCCGCGCTGCAACATCTGCAAGTAAATACGAAAAATAGGTAACGCAATTAACCGTTAATTTTCAAATTAGCGTTTCGATGCCATCTGCTTTGTCCTGAAAGTGCGGTACCGTAGATCAGAAATTATAACAGCAATTATACACGTATTCTCTTATTTTCGTTACAATACTCTTTCTGGTATTGTTGCTGTCTCCTCTTCTCCTCCTCCATCATCATCATCATCATAATCATAGCCGAACAATGGTACCGTTTCGTCAAATAAACTCCTGGGAAGATTGCGTGAACCCTTCCGCGTGCTGTGGGAATCGAATGAACTTACTTACCCGGAGGTGAGAATCTCTGGACCGATCCGCTTCCGATCCGCGGTTGTGAGGAACGAGGCCAAAGGATAGGAATTCCAAAATTCACAGTTATCCGAAGGATTCGCGGCCGGCATCTTTAGAAATTCCAGCGAGGATCACGCTTTGATTGAACAAGTGGAAGTGGAATTTCTCACTACGGTTTCGAGGATTGTAAATAATGACAGTAAAAAAAAATAAAACGTAAAACATTTAACATTTAACAGCGTTGACCAAGTATTTTGCAAGTAGCCCAACGACCATAACTTTCACGCAGTAAATAAGTAATTACTTTTATTAAATAATTACGCCGTAAATTAATTTTCTAATTTCAAAGTTCGTTCCCTATTTGTGCTGATGGCATCATAAACGTAGCTGTTTGGGCCGTTAAACCGTTGCTATCTGATTGCAGCCATCGAAAGATTTATATTATAATGAGAAATTATGGACGATGTCGTGCAACAATTTAAATCTTGTCTACCAACATTCTTCATTTTCATTCTCAACAATTATTGTTTTATTTATTACATTTATATGATTTGCGTATACAACAAAGTTAATCTTGTCCACCGACATTCTTCATTTTTTTTTCAACAACTATTCTTGTTTTATTTCTTTACATTCACATGATTTGCGTATACAACAATGTAAATCTTGTACAACAACATTCTTCAATTGTTTCAACAATTATTTTTGTTTTATTCTCTGCATTTACATGATTTGGATATGACCTATGCGCGTTTTTGTTTTTGTGAAAAGATGTACGGTAAGTCCGGTTCGGATTCCGGAATTTGTACGACTCGAAACGGGTTTCAGGACATGCAACCATGCCTGGAAAATGTGCGTTTTATTTCACTTTTTGTGATGAATAGAGAATCAAAATATTTAATTCGAGATTAAAGCGCGTAAATGTTTTAATAAAACGCTGAAAAAACTACAAAATTAATTGTAGCAGGAAATCTGCACCTGTTCTCCGCGAAGGAAAAACAGTTTGTTACGTAACTCGGCGTGCTTCCTCATTAGGTTATAGTAGCAAATATTAGTTTTATAGAAAAAGATGTTATCATTTTATAAAATTTTATCAACAGTTGATAAATAAACAATAATTTAATATTGTTATGTAAACTCAACGATGTTATCTTTAAGGATACAACAATTTTTATGAATTTATGAATAAAATATTTCTTTCTATAATTTTATCAAAAAGTTGGTAAAAACATTAATATGTAAAGTCAACGATGTTATTTAATCTTTTTAAGATAAACACTTCTGAAATTATGAAATTTTTATTTGAATATTTCTTCCTGCAGGAACTTTTGACCAGAATAAAAGTTATAATTTGGTGTTCGAAGAATAACTTTAATTTTACTATTTTTTCAAACTTTTTAAATCTACAATTATATCTAAAGTCAAGGTTATAACTTTTCAAGCACACAAGTAGTTAAACGAATATTTTTTTATTTTAGTTTTTTTTTTAAGTATTTCACTTTTGAAATTATGAAATTAATTTGTTTACTTTGCGTTTCAAGAATAAATTTCTTCTTATAATTTTATCAAAATTTGTTAAATTTGCAATAATATATAAAGTCAATGATGTAATGTATTTATCATTTCAATAATGGTAACGCTTTTAATAAAAACGGTGTGATTTAAGTTAAAATAAAATATTTTTCCTGAAATATTGTTCCATCTTTCCATATTGTTTACTTAAGCGGTGACACTTTTAAAATTATGAAACACTGTGATTTTCTTTATTTTGTTGTTTGGTTTATGTTCGAAATTTGAAACCGTGCTAACTTTCATTTAAACACACGAAAGAACCGATGTTTCTTTTTATTGTGAAACTAAATAATGTCTCTAATATAAATTTTCGCAATGTCTTTTTATCTAAGTGAATTAATTATTTGATATAAATGTATCTTATTATATGTAAATTTGGCTACTAAAAAAAATAGAAAGAAAGGAAAAGATAAGTAAAATATTCTAAAGAAATCATGTAAATGAACCAAACTGATGAAAGATATGGTTTAATAACTAATATTTGCGTAGCGGAATGGAACGTTTAGAAACTTTAACAAGACATGTACGTGTTGCACGCACTGCATGTGAGTTAGGCATTATTCATACAACTATGTATTATCTTGGAATAGTTAATGAAAATAAGATCGTTAAGTCATGAAGATTTTTTTATGATTTGGGAATCGGACGTTTCTTTCAGTCGGATGAGTGTGAATATCTAATCTAATTATTAAATTAATTGTTTCAGGTATCAAATTGGTAGCAGAAGTAAGTTAAGAAGATGGTGAGGAGCAGAACTCCGTCGCAGGGCGGAGGTTCTCAAGGTTTCGAGATGGAGCGTAAGTACTCTGTGCCGTCGAATCCGGAATCGCGTGCGTTTTCTGGGACGGCGAGCGAGGATCTCCATGCTTGGTCCATATACAGGTGAGTGCGTTTCCATCAATTTCACGGAAACCCAATGGTAATAACGATATGCCTCTCCTCGCAGACAAAATCTGAATTCCGATTTCACGGATAGCGCTCTTGGTTCGACGGATAAAAGCCCGTTACCTTACGGCAACTTTCAATTGAGAGACACAACTGTTCAGTCGATACTCTCGCATCCGCGTTATGGACCCAAGTAAGTTATCCATTCTATACGCGTATCGAACGGAGATGAGCTTCAGGTTTAATCTCTTTTGAAGAAATGCCCAACATTCCAGATCCGCCCTCGGATCCAACATGTACACGTACTTAAAGTTCGGACTGCCCAGGGTCTTTCCGCCAAACCAGAACGGCTCGAACAGATCGGGAACGCCGCAGCACTTCCAAAGAGGCACTTCCACAAGACCACAAATGAGGTAGGCTAATTACATCATATTCTTCATTTTCCATCATTTCCAGTGATTCTGTTACTTAATTCTAGAATATAGTCATAGTGGAAGATAATTGCTCTGACTAACATACATTCTATTGAGAAAGGCATTAGTGAATCATTTTACTGCAATGAATAATAAAATTGTTTATAAAATGATGTTTATTAAAAAAAATAGATGGTTTCTATTGGAGAAGACATGAGTTTATATCCTCAAGATATTTTGACAGTCAGTGATAAATTCAGTTTGATTGAAATGATTGGTAATTTGTAACCTTGAGTGGTTTAACTGTATTAATTACATTCGTATGGAGTGTATGATACATGATAATACTCAATAATAAGTTGTTTTATTTAAATAAAATCATTTTGGAGAAGTTCTGCTATGTTTAGTTTCATTGAATCGAAGAATACTTACTTCTTTGACATGTATCAAATAGTTTGGAAACTTGGATTTAAACATAATTTTTGATATTATGATGATTACATTGTTTGTTTTTGAAGGGGTCCGAAGAGTGGAAGCCGCGGACCGCGCGACGGTAGCTCCGGATACGACAGCTCCGACAACGAGACGACGAATCAATACAAGCAGAACAGGAAATACCGTTCCGATCCGGACTTCCGTATGCAGAACGTCCATCCGTCATATCACATGCACGGGGTAGGGCTCGAACATAAATTCCCACACATTAATCGCATGATTTACTCATTCCTCATTGTATCTCCTTCTCAGCCGAATCCGGGAGTGCCGCTGGCCGCTCTTCAGCAAGGCGGAATGCGGCAACCGAACAGCCATTGGAACAGGAACAAAAGCATTTCGGAGGCTAACCTGTTGAGCAGCGAATACTCGAAAACGTACAACAGTAACACATCGCATCATCAGATGCGAAATGATCCTAGGAGGAACAGCGTCGCCGACTTTGGTCATCACAATGATATCGTTGATCATGGGTAAAAATGCTGCAAATGCTCGTGTAAAGTTAAAATTTTAATTAAATAATTTAGCAGTCATATGATAAGGCCGATGAGCAAAGCTGAAAGCCACCTATCTTTGGCCGCCTCTCGAAGAGGTCCTTCAATAATTCGCGGAGATTACCTCTCGCACGATGAAGATATCGGACCCTCGTACATATATCCACACCTTCAGGTATAGATTTGATTTAATTTCGTCTTTATTTATTAATTACTTTTTATTTAGGTCCACAATTTGGGTGTACTTCCGAGTTCAAACTCTAAAATCTCTATGAGGACAAAGCAACACTTGCTGATCAACGATGTGTCATTTGAGGCTCGAGGTGGCGAAGTTCTGGCTGTGATGGCCACCTCCGAGGATGAAGGAACGGCGATTCTCGACGTTATTGCAGGAAAGTCCAGTCCTGTCATCGGAGATGTCCTTTTGAACGGTCAGAACGTGCGGAAGAGCGCTCTCAGGAGTCGAGTCGCTTACGTTCAGAGCGACTCGCACCTTTGCAAAGACATGACGGCCATCCAGACGCTACGATTCCACTACGATCTCAAGAGACCCACCGGCAAATTGGAACACTTGAAGATCGATGCCATTGATCGAGTAATTTGTTTACTTTAATTTAAACGCATCATCTATAATTAGTGATGATTTTATGTCTATCAGATCAACGTGTTGATTGAGGATTTGGGTTTGGAGCAAGTGCGAAATACTAAGGTATCTGCGATGACGATTTCCGAGCGGCGAAGGTTAAACGTCGCGTGTCACCTGCTACTTGACACTGACATCGTCGTTCTTGATCAACCGACGAGGGGCATGGACATCTTTGATACTTTCTTCTTGGTGGAATATTTGAGACAATGGGCGAACGGCGGAAGCGGAAACACGTTGGGACGTATCGTTGTCCTGACGCTGCATCCACCCACCTACGAGATCTTCACGATGCTTTCTAGGATCCTGCTAATATCGGCGGGACGAACTATGTTCAGCGGCAGGAGGCGCGATATGCTTCCTTATTTTAAATTAGTGGACTATCCGTGTCCCTCCTTCAAAAACCCTTCGGATTATTACCGTGAGTATTACTAGAATTTATATAACCAGAATAACTAATTGATATTCATTTCTTTTTAGTTGATCTTGTGACTCTGGACGATTTATCGGCAGAAGCAATGTTGGAGTCATCCCAAAGGATCGAACAGTTGGCTGAACTCTTTCGTCAGAAGCAGCAACCCATGTCCGATCCGGGGCCACCATCCACACTTCCCATGACCGTCAAAAGCTCGAACAGTTTCAAGCAAAGTTTCGTGCTCTTCACGTAAGTCCACGTAACAAAGGTAATAATTACTATTAAAACAATATCTCCCCATAGGAAAGCCATGTTCTACACTCAGCCTAACACGTTTATAAAGTGGTTAAGTTTAATAATAATGTCAGTGAGTGTATCGTTGATCATGGGTGCTATTTTCTGGGATGTCCCAAACACCGATCCCCAATTAAATTTGAATGATAGGTTTGGATACCATTATGCCACCATGTCGATAGTATGCTGGCCTATTCTTTTAGCTTTAACGTTGATGGAGGCTAGATCTAATAGAAAAACTGTTGAAAGGGACATCAGCGATGGTCTCTATGGAAGATTCACTTATATACTAGTTAAGGTAAACATCTTCTATTTAACTCAAAATTATGTATTTAATATTATTTCATTTTTTTAGTGTATAATAAACTTGCTACCGTCTTTATTCGTGTGGTTGGTTTACTTAGTGCCAAGTTATTCGATGTGCGGATTATATATGCAAAGTACAACAAATTATACAGGATTTTATGTATACATAGGTAATATATCCATTGTATGAACCAAATGTTTATAATCCCTTACTTCGTTTTCCATTTTAATAGGAATAATGCTTCTTTATTTGAGTTGCATGCAAATTGTGGCGACGGCCTTCATTTACTTGTTCCCGTTCTCAACGTTTTCAACTATTCTCGCCACGCTCTTGACGACGGCGTTCTTTTTGTCCACCGGTTACGTGATCCATTTCAGAGACATCGCGTTTTACACCAAATGGCTGGATTACATCAGCCCTCCGACGTGGCTCCTGCCAACCCTTCTGGCAAGAGAATATGCACAAGAAGCTATTGCTAGCAGCTCCCCGACAACGCTATGCAGAAACAAACAGGTACGTTGAATTAATCTTTACACTCGCACTGTTAATGAAATTGCTCGTTTCAGGTTCAACACAAAGACATAATCGTGCAACTTCCGTGTCCGCCTCCGAACGGTACACTAGTTATGACGAACTTTGGCTACCATTCTTCCCAAAAGGAGTTTTTCCATTACGGGAATACACCTGTATCACTGGTCATCTTTTATGTGATTTGCGTGGCTTTGGCCTGCATTGGCTTCATACTAAATTGCTGCCGAAGGTCGCGAGGCCGCGATAAGAGCGGCGGCAACAAGCCCTAAGACACATTCAAAACGCTAAATGTTAGCTTACAATTATTTGTGCCGTCAATATTAATAATTACTACTGTGTCTCGATCAATATTATATTTTTTATTGTAAATATTTTTTACTTTTCAACATGTAATGTACTTAAAAAAAAACAGGAGAAGCAATCTCGAAATAAACATATTTAAGTAAATAATCTTTGAACTTCGATATGTACTTTTTTGACCTTGTCAAATATCATGCATTGGTGTGCAATTGGCTGTCCACTCTTATATAATTTAACGAAAAGGTTATGATTGTTTTTACAATTTGTTTACAATTCGTTTGGAAATATACCAAATAATAAAAAAGAAAAGTTAAGAGTAGGAAGTGGAAGTCGACGGATGCATTGTAATAGAATTATATAAGATGAATCAACAACTACGCCTCTGTTTTTTTGTGTCATATATATAATGTTCGTAGCCGGATCGATTTATTCAGTGCGCTTATTTCGTGCTAAAGATGGGCAAGTGCGTGAAATTTCTGTTCATCGTCGTTACTCTGACCACAGTTTTCATAGGTATTAAAATCAAGGAATGCTTTAAATCTCCACCTATACCGACAGTGCCGGAACCCTACTGGGGCCCAGGCAAACAAGTCAAAGATGGTACAGCAATTATTCCATTTAAAATAAACGTATCCGATAATGTAATTTAATTAAATATACGCTACAACAAATTACTATGTCATCACTTAAATGTTGCAGGTGTTAGTTGACTTGAATCAACGCCTTCTCAAGCACAGATTGATTACAAGGTCTCTGGAAGATTCCAAACACCATTACGGTATTAATTCTGCGCTCCTCGGTGAAGTTGTTGAGTTTTGGAGAAAAGATTACGATTGGCGGAAGCGAGAAATGTACCTGAACAAGTTTCCTCAATTTAAGACGCGAATTCAAGGACTCGACATCCATTACATACACGTCAAACCTGATACCAATGTCCGAAAAATTCCGCTGCTTCTGTTGCACGGATGGCCTGGCTCGGTTCGGGAATTCTACGAAATCATTCCGATGCTGACTAAAGTGCAGAAGGAGAGGAACTTTGTTTTCGAGATCGTAGCTCCTTCTCTTCCAGGTTATGGATTTTCTGATGGCGCTTCTAAATCGGGCTTAGGACTTGTCGAGATGTCTGCGGTCTTGAAGAATCTGATGGTTCGTTTGGGTTACAAGAAGTACTATGTTCAAGGTGGCGATTGGGGAAGCGCTCTGGCTTCGACGATGGGTACCATATATCCAGACTATGTAAAGGGAATACATAGTAATATGTGCTTAAACCTTAACCATATTACATATATAAAGCTCTTCATTGCAAGCCTTTATCCGACGTTATTCATGACGGATGAAGAGGCAAAACTGACCTATCCATCTTCGAGTCTTATGTCGAAGGTCCTTTTAGAGACCGGATATTCGCATCTGCAAGCCACTAAACCTGATACTTTGGGTGTTGGTTTGAACGATTCTCCAGTTGGATTAGCAGCGTATATCCTGGAGAAATTTATTACCTGGACAAACGACGATTACAAGAACCGTATGGATGGTGGGCTTAAAATAAAATACGACTACAATAAACTCTTAGACAATGTAATGATCTATTGGGTGACCAATTCGATAACAACTTCGATGCGCCTCTACTCCGAAACCCTCAACACAGCCCAAAAAAAATACGGCCTAGATATGTAAATATGCAGAGGTTGAATTTGCAACTTATATATGTTAATGTT